ATGCAGGTATAAGGAATTTATACTTCATGCAACACAAAATCAAGCAGAGAAAATAGTTCTTTGAGAGAAATTGGGTTTGAACTTTTTCAGTTAAGGAAATCATATCAGGAAAATGTTCATTTCACAGGCCATTCATCATAGATCCTAGAATAGGAAGAGAGTTAAGAAATCCTGTGCCCAGGCTCCTGCCCTCAGAATGGAAAAGCATCCCTGGGGGTTACAGTACGGGAGTCAGACTGCCTGTGTCTGACTCCTGCCCCCACATCTGTCTGGCTGGGAGACCTTGGGTAAGTCCCTTAACCTCTGTGCCTCAGTTTCTTATCCAAAAAGTTCAGAAAATATGATATCTACCTGAATTATAATCCTGGGAGGATTATATAAAATAATATATGGAAAACATTTTGATCAGTACCTGTTCAATAAATATTAGCTATTGTTAGCTTCATTTTGCAACAAAGTGACTGAATTTCAGAACATTTAAGGGACTTTTGCAAAGTTGCAAAGTTGCACAGCTAATACGAGGTGGAGCAAGATCTAGACCCCAGAACTTCTGCCTCCTGAAGCACGGCGGGTAGATGTAAGCATTTTAAAAGGGTTATGCAAGTAAGCATATTTAACATCTAAAATAAACATTGGCTACAAAACCATGTATCATTATATCACTTTTTTCTAAGGAAGAATGTGTGTATGTAGATACTATGGAAAGTACTGAAAGAAGGTAGGCCAGAGTGCAAGCAGTAGGCATATGGTGGGGGGATTTTGAGAATACGGACGACTTTATTTTCCTTGTGTTTTGCTGTTTGCCATGTTATTAGAATTCAGCAGGTATGGCTTATATAGTCAGAAAAAATGTGATTAAAAAGGCAAAACAACAACAATAATAACAGCAACAATGAAACCCCTATATCTCTTGAATGTGTGATTATACCAACACCTTATTTTATTTACTCAGCTTTACATTTTCCAGACAGTTGCGGTGTAGACTCGCGTTGAGCTCCGGTAGAACGTAGTACGTGCACGAATTCCCCGTGCTGCGCGCAGGCTCGTTCTTTCTTTGGGCGTCAGCTCCCGCACGTCTGTATTCCAGTTCTGTCCTGGGTAATCTATATGGTGGCACTTTAAAAATGTTTGATGAATGACATATCTGTCAGGATCCTGACTCTGGAAATAGTATTCCTAAGGACCACCCCAATTCCAAAATTGCTAAAATGATTCGCAGGTTCTCATTCTCTATACTGGTGAATTTTTCTTGCATGTCTGTATTCTATTTCTAACCAAGACTTCTGATGTTTCCAGTTGTTTTCCCTTTTATATTAAAACATTTATATCACATTTAGTATTTATATTTCACACCGAAGTATTATTCTTTATCAAGAAGATTTTAATAATCATTTTCTGGAAAATGCCGCAAGGAAATTTGACCACGCTACCCTTCGTATCTTGAGCGGTTTTCACGCACATTTTTATTACTTGTCAAAATAGTTTATAATCTAAGTTTCAAGGTTTCTCTCAGAAAGTTTTGAGCCTATTTCCTTAGCAGAGTTGTAAATGAGAGTTTCAAAGGCAATGAAAAGTATGAAAAAAAGTACGGGATAGTTTCTGGGGCTGTCCGTAACACCTACACCTGTTGGCTTCTGCTGGCGTCTGCGAGCGTGGCTTGGGTTGCCGCAGAGGCTAACATGGCCTGGTGTCATTTATCCACAGACTCTAGATAGACAAATACCTATGGAATGCTTCGAAGTAGGAATATGGAAGTGTTCACATGGTCAGATTGGAAGGGTGAGGATTAGTGGTGTTGCACAGTGCGTCACACAGAGAAGGTGTCGGTGAGGAATTCTGTAACCAGAGGAGCTACTGGGCTTGTGACTGACAGCTGTCAGACACCTGAACTGCTGTAGGATGGAGGCTGATTGGCTTCTAGGGGACAAAGTTTGGAGTGGGCAACTGGTGGCCCCAGTGGACCCCTACCCTCCACGTTCTTCTTTTGTTTGATCATATATCCCACTAGATAATCATTAGTTTAAAAAGTGAGAACATAGTGAAGTATATAAGATATCACAGAGTTTTAACCTTGGGAAAATTACCTAGGCTTTCTAGGCCTCGGTTATAAAAATATTGATAATAATAATAATTATAATAGTTATAATAATAATTATAATATAATATAATATAATATGTTATAATAATAACAGATTAGGAAGAAGGCCCTGGCCACCTACTGCCGAAAAACTTGGCCATGAAAACCCTAAGAACAGCAGGAAGCCTTGTCTGATACAGCACTGGAAGGAGACAAGGTGGCGCAGAAAGACAGGGCAGGGTTCCGCTCTGCTGTGCACAGGGTTGTTAGGATTTGGGATCCACTTGAGCGCACTAACAAGTAACAAGTAACATTTATTGAGCATTCACTCTATGCCAGGCACTATTCTAAGCTCTTGGCATATATTAATTCCGTTTAGATAATACTTTCCTCGCAGTTTGTTGTTAGAATTAAGGGAAATAACACTGGCAAAAGTTCTTAGCAGAGGCCCTGGCCAATAATACTGAGTTCTCAAAAAAGTTAGCTATTTTGTTGTTATTGTAACTACTACTACCACTACTAAATGCCTCCTACTCCAAATTCAACTCTGAGAGGCTTTCTAAACTTTTGGTTAGATGGAGTCCCAAGGCTTTGTAAGATCCCAGAATTACCTACAGCCTAACTCAGTGCCTGACACACATTAAGTGATTGACAAATATTTATAAAAATTACGCATATCCTAAATTGTAAGGATGATTTTATAAGTAGATTTCTCAGGGAAGAAAGTATGTAGTTTTCTTCAGATGCTCAAAATAATTCATGGTCTAAGAAATAAAGAACCATGACTTTAAAGGAGAATTTGTCACCATGTGGGTAACAAAATCCTAACAAGAATAAGGAGGAAGTGGGGAGGAAAGATCTGAGCAGGGCTGGCTCTCCACCGTAGATTTGGAAGAGCCTTGTGACGCTAGCCTCTGGGTTGGCAGTCCCGGACGGCTCCGTCTCTCTGCCTGGAAATTCTCATTGCCCTCTGGGGTCATTTACATAAGACTCTGGGGTTACTGGCTGTACATCTAGCCTTGAATGGATGATTCAACGTCAGATAATTTTGTTCTGGTTTTGGGGAATCAGAATGCTAGCACTGGAAAGAGCCTCACACAGAGTCTATTTCAGGATTTTCAAATTTGTAGCAGATGTGTCACCGTTCCTCTTCCTGCACCCATGCAAAACATCTCGAATTGGAGACAGTTTACGTCTTTACATCTGTATCTTTACAATCCTTCTTAGCATAATATTGTATGCAACCACTAGCAATTGATTGAAATTAGCATGCAGAGGAAGCCAGATTTCCATTCGTGTCATGTGTCTGTATCCTCCTCTTATAGTGGGGAAAGTCGAGGAGGTGGCATTTACTGTGTCTCTGGATTAGACTTGAGCACTGTGAAGTGGGCGATGTGAAAGTTTTGAGATATGAAGGGTTATGACTACAAACTACAATCATTTGAGTACCAATATCATCTCCTTTGCCTCTGCCATTATTTTTCCTCATCTTTCATAGAATAAAGAAGGAAACCCTTTTAAATGATCATTTCCCTTCTTCCCACACACCAGTCTAGAGGCAGCTGAAAGCAGGCCCCTGGGTGATGGGAAGAAACTACAAATGATTATTTTAAGTATTATTCCATATGTCATTCTTTTTTATTTTAAACAGTGAGATAGTTATGCAAAGGTTCAGGCTTCAGGCCACTCCCTCTCATCTCTCAGCATTGTGGGAAAGTCCTGTACAGTAGTCCCCCTTATCCTGGTGGGTACTTCCAAGACCTTCAGTGGATGCCTGAAATTGTGGATAGTACCAAACTCTATATATGCTGTGTTTTCTCCTATACGTCATACCTATGATAAAGTTTAATTAATAAATTAGGCACAATAAAGGATTAACAACAGTAACTAATAATAGAGTTGGCTTTGGGGCCATTATTAAGGAAAAGAAGGATTCCTTGAACACAAGCCCCTTGATACCATGTTAGTTGATCTGATAACCAACTAACTACTAAGTGTCTAACGGTAGGGTGGCATACACAGCAAGGATCCGCTGGACAAAGGGATGAGTCACACAGCGGGTAGGACAGAGTGGGACAGCACGAGATTTCATCACACTATCCTGCAAAGTGTGAGATTTAAAACTTATGAATTGTTTATTTCTGGAATTTTCCATTTAATATTTTCAGACGGAGGTTCACTGTGGGTAACTGAAACCACAGAAAGTGAAGCCAAGGAAAAGGGAGGACTACTGTACTTAAATCTAAGAGACCGGGAGCTGTTACCACTAGCTGAGGATCAGTCACTCTCTGGAACTCAGTTTCCCCTACGGTAATAGGAGGATTTTGAACACTTCATAGGAATAGAAAACTGGGTTCCTCGTGCGTGGGAGAGAAAAATGGCTCACTGTTGAAGAGTAGATTGTGAACATTTATTTTCTCGTGTGTGTGTGTGTGTGTGTGTGTGAGTGAAAGGAAAGTACATTTAAAGTGAGGGTGAGGATTGGCCAGGGAAAGACATGAAATAAAATGCATTTCCAACACTTTAAACCGTTAACTAAATAACATAGACCTGGCTTCAAAATTATTAAATGTCATTGTATTAAACATCTGTAACTTAGAATGGAACACTTCCTCTGCATTAGGAGGGCACATAAGGTATGAACCTTGTCATAAATTTTTCCAGTTGATTCTTTGGGAAAAACTGGAGTTTTTAGGCAGACCAGCAGAGATCAAGTACTGGCACAGCCTAGATTTTTTTTTTCTCTTGAGGATGGTAAGGGTGGCCAGGGAAGGGAGGATTGCCAGACATGTAGCTGTCCTTCTGCCTTCTTTATCATACACTCTAAGTAAGCTGGCTTAAATCTCATCCTTCTCTTTGCTTTTGCACCAGCCCCTCTTTGCAATTTGAAAGTTATGAATATAAATTAGAAAATAAGCCAGTATTGTACGAGAACATATTTATTGGCTGAATAATAAAAACTTAGTTAAGGAGTTATTAGAATTAGAATTCTCCCTACTTGAAGTACAAGTTTCCAATGAGCAAACAGAAGCAAAACCCCCAAACGAGAAAGAATACATGGGTAACCTAAGTCATAGGCATTTGGGGGTGAGTTCCAACAGTCTGTGTACTGCTTTGTAGTGGACTGTAGCACTGACGGCACAGACATACAACGAGAGCCAGCATATCAACACGAGTACGTAACCACTACAAAGCTTAGGCTTCTTAAATGTGGCCACTGTAACTTACACACGCCCACAGGGCACCGCAGACATCTCCCTGCAGAGGAAAATTTGCATATAGTTTCTAGCCAATACTTTTACCAAAAAAACAAAAACAAAAACAAAAAAACACCCAAACTAAAAATAAAACCTTGGAGACCATGGTTAATAAATAAGAGAGAAAAAGAGAAGAAGAATCTGGCAACTTCCACCCCCTGGCAGGCATGCAGAGCAGCACCTCGGACCTCATCTGAAAACGGGTGACTCCCACAACCGTCAGGGCCCAGGAGAGAAGCCCGAAGGCGGCAAGGAGCCGTGCACTGTGCTCTCTGGGTGCTTCCACGTCGTCTCCAGGATGGGGGAGTTCCATCAGTCCCTATGCATAAGCTGTGTCCTTTTAGATGTGGCTGAAACAGGTGTCTCTGCAGAGCTGTGAAGCCCTCTAGGGAAGGCGGGAAGCATGGCTTTCAACTGTTCTTTCCAGGTGACAAATCAATAGCAATCACATAAATAATGTACAAAAACAAAACCACTCAACTCTCACTTCTTCCTTTTTAAAGATGACTTCAAATCACTCTCCAAGTGCAAATCTGGATATAAAAAAATAATAAGTAGAAGGGAGCGGTCAGCCCCTCTTCTGTCCCACCCCCGCCCCCCTCCCCATGGGCTGGTGTGGTGCCCTTTCCCGGCAGGGTGTCCTTCCACCTACACTTTAAGATAATCATTTTTCAGCCGACCTAGCCGGGTCCCGTGGCTCCTGATGGTGAGGGCCAGCAGCTCGTATTTGTCCCTGAGCCCCACAGAGATGTCGAGCGTTTCCTTTAGCAGGGACCTGGTGTGGACCAGCATCGCCAAGAAGTCCTCGTTGAGCCTGCTCTCCTGCCGGCTGTCCTGCTCCTGGCCCTGCTTGAACTTGCTTTCCAGCTCGGTGAGGGACTTGTCCGAGTTGGAGTAGGCGTCCCCGATCTGGTGCGACTCCCGCCGCAGGTACTTGCCATAGCTCTCTTCCCCGTCCAGGTCGTAGGAGATGCTCTTACTGATGCCCTCCAGGACGCGCCCAGCGTCCTCCACCTGGCGGCCCAGCACGGTGAACTCCTCCCGCAGGGTGAGGCTCAGCAGACTGCTGGCCTGGCTGCCCTCCCCCTGGGAGCAGCGCCGGTGGTCACTCACCCTGAAGAGCAGCTGGCACTTCTCAGGGTCATCGTTCTCCTCATAGTCCCCGTCAGGCACAAAGTAGTGGTGCAGAGTCCCATTGGACATCTCCGGGTAGAGAGGGCCATCGAAGTAGCCCTGACACAGGTGGCAGAGGAAACCCATCCAGAGGAACTTCAGAAACACCATCCTGGATATTCAGGTTGACCGGGGGCCCCTGGAGAAGACTTTTCGCCACGCAAGAGGAAGGGGGTCCCCTGGGGAGTCAGTGCCTCCCTGAGACGGCGGCAGCCTCAGCCCCAGCCGGCTCGCTGCACCCTGGCCCCGCCTCCCCAGCAGGCTTCATGTGGCTGTGGCACCAGCGCTGGGTAGCACAGCCGGCCGGCGGCAGCGCAGGATGCACCCTGGCTCTGCGCTCCTGCGCGCGGGCTCGGGCTCGGTGGCTGGAACTCAGCCGGCTCTTTCCCGGCGGGATCGCGGGGCGGAGGGGGGACCCCTCCTCCAGGGCTCTGGCAGGCCGCTGGCTCTGTTGCCCCACTCTTACTCTCAGGGTCCCCCTTGCTCCTGGGAGATGGAGCCTGTAGCTGGAGAGAAAGGCGCTTGCCCTCTGATACTATTTCAACTCCTGGACTGGGTGGGAATGCGAGTTTTTCCTTTGGCTAATGATATCCTGAGGATCTCTCTGCTCTCAAATTACAGCTGGTTTCGTCACTTGGAAGCCAGGGAACAAGTTTGGAAAGAAACCTCTCACCAGGTCTCTGTTATTAAAGGTACAGGGTCTCTTTTTAAAGATTGGAAGGAAGACCTTACAAAATAGACTTTAGCTTGAAGGAGAAAATGGAAAGAGGATAACAGAATTCTCACAACAGAAAGACTAGTTTGCTATTAACATACTGGGGAGAAGGGTGATTATCCTGGAGCAATGCCATTTCGCACTCTTATGTAAGTATCAGTTTGACTGGATTTGTTGAGTGTGTCTATTTTTATCATTAAAAAGTTTGTGACTTTGAAGGCAAATTTGAAGTGTAGGAAATGGCAGTTTTGTGTAGAAAGGGTTAGTTGATTAAAGTTTATAATAACAATACTTTGGAAGCAACAGGAATATGGAAAACTGACTAATACATGGTTGCAAGGATATATAAGAACAAAAGCTGAAAAATGGAATTTTGCCAGTTTAATAAGTAAATGGACAACTGAGAAAATTGTTTAATTTTATGAAAAACCTTCCGTGCTAAGCTCCTGCACTGCATCTTCCTAACACATTTACAGCTATGCCTTTTTTGGGGCACTTGAAAGTTTTTGAAGCATTTGGGGCTGGTACTGTTATCCCCATTTTCCAGATGGAGAAACCAAGGGGCCTAATGTAAAGCAAATTGTTTATAGTCACAGAGTTAGACTATAGTCGAGCTGGCACTCATTGTCATAGGGTCTTTTAATTTAATTTAGAAAAAAATGTATTTTTTTTTCACCAGGCCATTTTAGTTTCCAATTTAAGAATTGATTAGCAAATTGCCATCCTTCAGGCTATCTCATTTGTTCAACAATTGTTTGTTGAGCATTTACTATATGCTAGGGTCTGTTTTAGATACTGCAAATAGGAGCTTACATTCTGGGAAGTGGAGAGAGAATTAGATCAATATAAATAAATAAGACATATGGTACGTTGGACAGAGATAGGGTTGTGGAGAAAAGACAGGAAGGAACGGGAAAATGGAGGCAGCAGTCCTATTTCCATGGTTATTTCCTCTTTCTGCCTTGAAAAGTAACTGAAACACTCATGTGAGTTGCCTGTGTTTATACTTATCTCCCTCTCCAAGTCTTAAGGGACTGTTGTCATTCAGAGCCACACTGCTGTACAGTTCTGGGACTGTCACACTTGTTGCCATCATTTTCACTGACATAAACAACCCAGAATTCTGGATAGACAATAAGTCTGATTAAATAACTGGATATTTTGTCGATGTGGTGTCACATGCGTAGACGTTTTGAGACATGTTGACTGCACATTTTAATTCTTGTCCAGGTATTTGGCATCATGAAAACATAGACCAAAGGAGTTTTCTTAGTGTTTTTGCTAACTAAAAGACTAGGGCTTATTTTCATTGTATTCCAGCAGAAAACGACGACCTTCTCCAGTTGAGAGACCGGCCTGTTGGACTCAAGAGCCATATTGCTTCATTCCTTTTTCCCTGGGACCTTCACAAATGACAACAGATGGATTCAAATTGGCCACTTGGCCAAAGAAGAGAAGAGGAATTTACTCTGATTCACTCCACTTCTTGCACAATCCCTCCCTGACTTACTAACCAATTCAGTTAAGCAAACCTAAATGAAGCACTTACTACTACAGTCATGCACCACATAACAACATTATGGTTAATGACGGACTGCGTATATGATGATGGTCCCTTAAGATTAGTGCCATATAGCCTAGGTGTGTGGCTATACCATCTAGGTTTGTGTAAGTACTATAGGGGAGGAAAAAATTTTACTCTACCTTTCCAGGTTCTTTTGGCTGCTCTACAAATTAAGTTGACATGAGACACATAAACAGGAGAAAACCACACAAAATTTTAATAACGTGTATACACGGGAGAAACCCAGGAAAACTGAGTAACTTGCCAAAATGGTCAAAACCCTCACCTTAAATACCATCCTCAGCTAAAGACAAAAGAGGATATTGGGGGTGGAGAGAGTCAGGGACTTCAAAGGAAGGGAGGCAATTCACAGGTAGGTGAAAAGGAGCAAATGTTTGAAAATAAGTGTTTGGCCCCACAAAAACAGAAGCACACAGAGGGGAGCCCAGCAAACAGGCTTTTCTGGATTCCTCCCTGTCTCCCACCTAGTTCACGTTACGCTAGCTTGCTTCGTGGGACAAGTTTTCTTATATGATTTCTTTTAGGCAGTCAAGGGAGAGTAATAAGAAAAACTTTCTGAGTCTTTTCTTTCTTAAAAATAATCAGCCTAAAATAATCCTCATGTCAAAGAGACACATTTTGGGTTGGCAAATTTTGTTCCCCTTCAGTACTCTCTATGTTTGCACAATGAGGAATCGCCTGATGACGTATTTCTCAGAACGTATCCCTATTTGCCTGGTTAAGTGACACCTGACTGTACTTGCCCCCTGCTATGTGCAGGGTGCAGTGTTAAGTTAGCTACAGATACAAAGACATGCAATAAGAAGTTTCAGCTTACAAAGAGCTTGCTCTCTGATTGGAGAGTCAGGTAAATATACATACACAGTCATAATAAGAATGGCTAAGAGTATTTATTTTTCCTGCAGTTACCTCATCTAAAGATATGAATCCCATGTCATATATCAGGAAGAAATCATTTTGGTGCAAGAAACTGAAAGTCTAATTCAATCAGACTAAAGGTAGAAGAAATCACTGACTTACAGAAAGTCTCTGATTAGATTTTCAGCCTGTGCCTGGTCCAGAATCTAGTTTTTCTTTCACCATTTTTTTGTTTTACTTCCTCAGCTTATATTCATTCTTGGGCATTCATTCTTTCCTTTGCGGTTCCGAGATGGCTGCCAGTGTCTTCCATGGCTACAAACTTCCTTGTTTATGCCTAGCAGGAATGACAGCTTAGTCCTTCAAATCAGCCTCAGTAGCCACAGTTGGCCTAATTTGGATCATTAATTCATCCTCGAACCAGGCTGAGTGTAGTCAGAGGTTTGGGATAAGCCACTGGACTCTTGACAATAAGTTCTCCAGCTGGAGGCGAGGTCCCGTGTGTACTACATGGCTGGGAAATTTAGGGTCCTGTTTGGGAAGGGGATAGTATGAGACTAGGTTCTGGGGAAGTAACTAGAAATATTCCCCCTACCCTGTGCTTTGTTTTCATTAACCACTTCTGTAAGACACTGGCAACTCTTTTGCAGTTGTGTGCTGGTAAGTATTTAACAGCAGGCTCTATGGAGAAAAAGCTCCCTTTGTGGCATTTGCTAGTTTCCGTGGTGTAAATGCTTTCACCAAGACCGACGTCTGTGAATGCAGAATTAGGAAGAGGTGCAATGGCACACCAGTCTGTGGCATTCCCACCATACAGATACATTACGTACAGATAACCCCGAGAGCATAGACAATCGGAAAATGTAGTCACATAATTAAGAAGTGATGAGTTTTACACATGCATTCCCTTTATGTTAATGCAATTTTTTAAATTTAGTTATAAGTTTCAATAACTTAATTTTTAATAATGGCTGTGTTTAACAACTGACTTGCAAAATTCTTGGAAACCTGACAACTGGCTCTCGTGGGCCAGTGCTAGCCAGCTCCAGCATGCCAGTCCTTCTGCACTAAGTACTTCATCTAGTTCACTTTTAAAAGGTATTTATTTGCACTTCATATGTGCCCAATTCCGTCTTTGGCTGGCCTGCTAGAGTCAGAGTTAAGGTGGGCTTCTGAGGATTGGCCTAAAGTAAATGGAGCCAGAGGAATTGTCCAAACACAGACATACCAGACAGAGGACTTTGAAGAGTGAAATCAAGAAGCACCCTCTGCCAAGAGGGACAACAGCCAGTCCAGGGCTGAAAACTAGAGACAAAGTCCAGGGAGAGAGACTGGGTAAACTTAAGAATAGAGGAGCCCCTCAGGAGCAGTGGCCAGAGTCGCGTACGTAAGTAGATGAACACTGTTGCCCATGCCCAGCTGATTATACGTAATCCTTGCCATACACTGCTGGCAGGGTTGGCTAGCTTAAAACCTGCGTATCCTTTAGCCTTTTCAGTGCACTTTAAATTCTTGTTCCTTTGGTCCAGTTACCTCTTGAGAGAGAGAAGCAAGAATTTGTTCGGGCTGGCACCATGAGCCTAAGGACCTGTAAGATTTCTTAAGCTCCATGATCTCCCCTTGCCAAAGGTTTTTATGATCCACTGACTGTTTCTGATTATGGTAGTAGTAGAACTTCTATGGAAAAGGGGCTTGTATGCATAAGAATAAGGAGGGCTGAGAAGAAAGGGTCCCACTATACAGTCTAGAAACCCAAAAAGAGCCTTGGGAAGTGGAAGCCCTCACTCCCAACATCCTCCCAAAACTGTCAGGCCGAATCCCTGGACCATGTCAAAGAAGAAAAACGAGCAAAAGGAGTTAGCGTGGACCAGAGTAGGGGTCTAGGCTGAGAGAAGAGAGGAGAGGAAGGAAAGCGGGGAAGATCAGGAGAAGGACAGTATTTGGCATTTTTGGATTATTTTATCAACTAACAGATAATCAGTAGCATTTATTGAGCAGCCATTGTTTGCAGAGGTGGGAAGGAGAGAGGAAGAAAAATAGATGAGAAAGATAGAAAAGAGAGAAGTAGAGAAAGAAGGAAGGAAAGACAGAAGGAAGAACAGAAGGAAGAGAGTGGAATAAATTTTGATTATCTGGTCTGCTATTTATTTGTCACATTAACTCAGTGAAGTGGTTAGTATTATCACAAACAAAGTTCCCATCAGATATAGGCAATAAAACATACCTATGAAAACATAGTGAGAATGCTCACAAGGAAATAAGCATAACGTGGGGAGAGAGTCTGATCAGTTCTCCCAGTCTTTCTCTATTAGTCAGAACAGGCTATGATATGCTGTGGTAACAAACGTCATTCAAATGCTAACACCAGATTCAAGTCAAGGGGACTCAGGAACTCTCCTCTGTGCCTTAACTGTAATGTCGTCTCGTCTCGTATCTTAGCTGTAATGTCCTTTCCTCTAAAAGCCCCTCCCCGATGATCA